GTATGATAGGCGAGCACTCTACCACTGAGCCACAACCCCATCCCCACAATATATTATTATTAACTATGGTTACCACACTGTATATTAGGTATCCAGAATTCACTCATCTTATAACTGCAAGTTTAAACATTTTTTAAAAATAAATTTTTAGTTGTAGATGGACACAATACCTTTATTTTATATGTTTATTTTTATGTGATGCCACGATAAAACCGAGTGCCTCAGGCATGCTAGGCAAGCACTCTACCACTGAACCACAACCCTGGCCCCAAGTTTGACATTTTGACCACTATCATCCATCTCACCCTTACCCAGCCCCTGGAACTACCCTTCTACCTCTGTTTCTATGAGTGTCTTCTTTGGATTCTACATAGAAATGAAATCATGCAGTATTTCTCTTTCTAGCTTATTTCATTAGGATAATGCCCTCCATGTCCATCCATGTTGGTACAAATGGCAAGGTTTCCTTCTTTTTTAAAACAACATTTTCTATGACCATTCATCTGTTGATGGACACTTAGATTGTAGTTTCCACATTCTGATTATTGTGAGTGACACTGCAGTGAAATGGGAGTGCAGGTGTCTCTTCAGTGTTTTGTTTTGTTTTTCTTTGTGGTAGTGCTGGGATTGAACCCAGAGTCTCACAAATGCTGGGCAAGTGCTCCACCACTGGGCTGTATCCACAGTGATATGGCTTTAAGACAGTGATTTTTATTTCCTTTAGATAAATACCTAGAAGTAGAATTTGTAAATCACAGGTTGAAATTTTAATTTTTCAAGGAAACTCAATCCTGTTTTCCATGATGGCTGTATTCATTTACATTTCCACTAACAATGTATATGTGTGCCCTTTCCTCTTTCTTCCTCAATATTTAGCTTTTGACTTTTTTTCGGGGGGTGGGGGGGGTATGGGGATTAAACCCAGGAACACTCAACCACTGAGCCACCTCCCCAGCTCTTTTTTGTATTTCATTTAGAGATAGGGTCTTACTGTGTTAATTAGGGCCTTGCTAAATTGCTAAGGCTGGCTTTGAATTTGCAATCCTCCTGCCTCAGCAGCCTCCTGAGCTGCTGGGATTATAGGCATGCACCACCACTCACCCATAGCCTAGCTTTTGATGTTTTAAAGATAACAGTCTCTAGCAGGTATGAGGTGACGCCTCACTGTACTTTTAGTTTGCATTTCCCTGATGATTAGTGATGTCGAGTGCCTCTTCATATACCTGCTGTTTTCCTTTGAAAAACATTTACTTAAGTCCTTTCCCATTTTTTAACTGAGTTACTTTTGCCATTGAATTATATAAGTTCCTTATATATATTTGGATATTAAACACATTTGGATATATTGTTGGCAAATATTTTTTTTCAGTCCAGTTGCCCTTCATTTTCTTGATCATTTCCTTTCCTACATAAAAACTTTCCAGTTTGGTGGAGTCACACTTGCTTTTTTTGATTTTTTTTTTTTCCTGTGCTTTTGGTGTCATGTCCAAAAAATCATAGTTAAAACAAGGCCATGGAGATTTCCCCTATGTTTTCTCCTAGGAATTTTATGGTTCCAGATCTTAAATTTAAAATTCGAATTCATTTTCAGTTAATTTTTTGTGTATGGCGTAAGATCAGGATTTAATGTGGGTTTTTTTTTGTGTGGATACCCAGTATTCTCAATTATTGAAGGGACTTTCCTTTCTCCCATTGTGTATTTTTGACACCTTTGTCAAATATTTCGTTGATTGTACATGCAAGAGTTTATTTCTGAACTTTCTATTCTGTTCCATTGGATTGTATGTTTGTTTTTATGCTGATACCACATTATTTTGATTACTAGTTTCCTTATCACCCTAATTTAAAATCAGAATGCCTCCAACTTTGCTCGTCTTGCTCAAGACTATTTTGTTATTCAGTGTCTATTATGGTTCCATATGAATTTTGTTTTCTACTTCTGCGAAAAATGCCACTGGAATTTTGATAGGGATTACGTTAAATCTGTACACTGCCATGGGTAACACAGACATTCTGATCACATTGATTCTACTGGGAAGATTCTTTAATGGCTTGCTGTGAACAGTCTCAGTCCTTTCAAGATATGGGCCTGGGAAGAATGTTCAGTCCAGCAGGTTCTCACCTCCGCTCTCTCCACTCGTTTCACTAGCTCCTCTCAAAGGAGCCGTCCTCATGGCCCTGGCTCCTCGGGGAGATGAGGAGCACCCTCATGTGCAGGCCAGGTTAGAACAGGTGGCAGCAGGCTCAGGGAGGGACTCTCAACAGGCTTCCCCTGTGTGCATGGCCTACTCTCTCTGCTCAGGTGAGAAGAAAAATGACCAGGGACATGAGCAAGCCCATTCCTTGCTGCCAGGCAGTTTGCCCACAGGTGGGAAGGTAGCTCCTTTATTTAATGCACTTGGAGAAAAGGGCTGACTGCAGAAACGCTACATGGACATGCTGGCTCCATAACTGTTCCAGATCAGTAGTGGCCAGTGGCCCTGCACAGAATTTTCAAGTTTTGGAAGAGAACAGAGGAGCTGTCCCCCATTTCTCTGTGGCCTCCACAATGTCTGAAAGGTCTGCAGGAGGCCAGCAGAATAGCAAGCTCTATGCACAGGGGTCAGAGCACAGGATCCAGACTCCAGCTCTTCCACGTCCTCCTAACTGTGTCACCATGAGCAAGTGGTCTCATGTCTTTGAGTCTCAGTTTCCTTGTCTATAAAATACATCTATAAAATAATATATATGTACTTCATAAGACTAAACTAAAGGAAATTTTTTTTTAGAGAATTTTTTTAATATTTATTTTATTTTTTTAGTTTTCGGCGGACACAACATCTTTGTTTGTATGTGGTGCTGAGGATCGAACCCGGGCCGCACGCATGCCAGGCGAGCGCGCTACCGCTTGAGCCACATCCCCAGCCCTAAAGGAGATTTTAAAGTATTTAAGTATTTATCATAATATTTGGCATATGGTTTAAACAAATAGTAGTTCTAGAAGCTCTTCTGCCTGTGAGTGTGGCTGAGTATATACCTGATCCTCAGTCAATGTTTCCTTCCTCCCACCTGCAGTCTGATCACTGCAGGTTGTAGGGAGGAAGAGCTGTGTACTGATTCAAGGCCAAGGCTTCCTCATCACCTTGTCACAGGACAAAGTTACAGCTATAGGACCCCAGTATCTTCTTGAGAGTTTCAACAAATAATTTCATGGCAAGAAAGGCAGAGAGATTCCTCTGGAAGCCCCAGTTGGACATGTAAAGTAACTACTATAAAAGGCAAGAGGAGGAGGTAATACTTCCTCTGCTCTTCAACAGATGATGCTCACACGGTGAAATGACTGTCCAAGGCCACCAGTAATCTTTGCTTTAGATTGGATGCCTCTCCCCACCCACCTACCATCACCCCCTTGCTCATCTGCAAGGACACTATCTGCTCTCAGGCCCTGATCTTTGCCTTCTTGAAGGTCCAAGAAAAGGAGTGACAGAGGCACTGAGAAGAGAGGTAAGGAGAGTAGTCAGGGAAGAGGCTGGGACTCCACTTAGCCTATTACCCAGAGAGTTTCCTTTCTAAGCCCTACTCACTCACACCTCTCTCCTCTAAAAATATCCAGTGACTTTCACACTTAGAGCTGTCAAGATAAAGCCCAGACTCATTCGTAGCCACCTGAATACTCAACTCTAGCCATGGCCTCTGTTCTGCACTGTGAAGCCCCAAGAAGCACATGTGGTTCCTGGGGAGCGTGTGCCCTTTCCAGCCCCCAGGCTGTTCCCATGCTGCCACTAGGCCCGCAGCCTTGCTCTGGCCCACTCCAATCCAGGCCATCTCTAGCATGCCTTTTGGCCTCAGTCCCCTCTGCACCTAGGCAACTGTCACTCATCTACTGACCATTAGCTTCATGGGTAAAGACTGTGTCTGCCACTTTGCTCTGGTTTGCAGAGTCCGGTTCCCAGGAGATGCTCTATAAACACTGCTGAATAAATGCACAAATGAGAAGCACTTCTCTAGGCCACAGCAGGAATCTACACCAAACTGCACACCAGATAGAGCTTCACTGTTCTGACCCAGTGCTGAAGACAGAAAACGTCAAGTCCGCTCTCCACACACACTCCTTAATTTAGGCACAAAAGCGCAATGGGTCTGACAAGCTCTTCAGAGAAAAACTCATCCCCAGGCTTGCTGGCATAATTGTGACGATTCTAGCTATGGAAAAGACCCAGGCAGGTGTAGGCTAGCTGTGTGGCCTTTGGTTCTGATATCCTTAATGGTTACATCCATGAATGCCTGGGTGGGTGAGAAGACCTCCGTGGACCCTGGACCCTGTACTCCCAACATGACAAGGCAGAGATTTACCAGATTCACAGAAGTGCTTTAGATGAAAAGCTAGCTATCATGTTACCTTGGATTTAAAATTATTAACTTATGCCAGAGCATTTAGATAGCATAAAACTATGAACACTGACCCAAGGTGGCCATACTTCCTGGCAGGCTGGATGAACTGCTCCAGATGGAACTGTTTCCACATGGAAAGGACCTGCCCCATCCCTTCTCACCATACTGCTGGGTCGTGCTCATTTCTTTGGGCTGGGTTTTGTTGCTTTGATTCCTCTAACACAGCCTTACAATGAAAATTCCTATTATTTGTCCTGGTCTTTGTAAAAATAGCTTTATAACAAATATTAGGTAGAGAAAAAATCTGGTGTCACACCCAAAGTTGCTCATAACTCTTGTGTATGACTCCATCTGCTCATGTACATGGCTGAAGAAACCCATCAGGCCACCAGAGGTAGTCTTTCTGATGCTATAAAGAAACTGCCTGTAAATGGAACCATGCCTGTGAAATTGCAGCATGATGTTATATAACTTCTGAAAAGAGCCATCCTGCCTTTTCTTCGTGAGACCAAAATTCTTCTCTAATTTCATTTGAAACCTATTTGTTTTCTTTCTTGAAAAAGAAAAAAGGCATTCAGGCAAAAATTGTGAAGCTATGGTAGAGTGGCAAGAACAGCGTGACTACCCACCTGGTTTAATTTCTTTTTCTTGCTTGCATCTCTTCAGATGTTCCACTCTCGGTTAATCAGTGTGAAAAATCTAAAGAACCAAAAGAAAAGGAGAGATTAGATCCAGACACACTCTGAGCTGTAAACTGAAATAATCTTTCTGGGAGGACAAGTTCGCATTATTGATTTACATATTAAATATGCACATCCCTGAGACAGCCAAATGTCCAGGATATACCATAGATATAGTCAGAAGACTCTAAAGGAATTCAGCAAAACATATTTGTAGTAGCAAACAACAGGTGAAATGACTTAGACAGTTGTTAATAAAGAAAGTTAAATTGCAGTTAATTGCAGTACAATAAGAAACCATACAACTATTTCAAAGGAGAAAGATTTCACTGTATTGACATGGAAAGATGTTCATGCTTGATTGTTGAAAAGATATTGTAAGGGCTGGGATTGTGGCTTAGCAGGAGAGTACTCGCCTAGCACGTGCAGGGCCTTGGGTTCATTCCTCAGTACCACATAAAAATAAATGAATGGAATAAAGGTATTGTGTCCAACTAAAAAAATTAATATTTAAAAAAAGTATATTATAAAATTGCATGTATTACTGCTTTTTAATAAAAATATAAATGATTATTATGTTTAGGAAAAGTGAAGCATTTGTGTATATTCACATTTTTAAAAGTATACACACTTTATACTTTAAGTTTTAAAATAGGGAATGGGGTTGTGGCTCAGTTGGTAGAGTGCTTGCCTGGCATGTGTGAGGCACTGGGTTTGATTCTCAGCACCACAAATAAGTAAATAAATAAAGGTCAATCACAACTAAAAAAAAATTTTTTTTAAAGTTTTAAAATAAACAGCCAGGCATGGTGGTGTATGCCTCTAATCCCTGAGTCACTGGGATTTAAAGTTCCTAATGATTCAGGATAAACATAGAAATATTATTTTACTTTAGATAAATTAATCTAATAATAAATATTAAAAATTTAAAGATAAAAACAAAAAACAGAAATAGAATGCATAGGTGCCAAGTCAGTAGAAAGTTCTTGTCTAGAAAAGGTAATTATCAGGCTAGAGATGTGACAGTGGAAGAACACTTACTAGCATGTGCAAGGCTCTGGATTTGAGCCCAGAATAGGAAAAAATGGAAAAGACTAATTATGAAAAAATGTCAATCTTTTCCAAATGACTACATCATTTTTATTAGATTTCAGTCAGAATATCAATACATTTTGGGGATGGTAACATTAAAGTTCATATGGAAAAATAAGGATCTCAGAAGACTGGCCAAGAAATAGTCAAGAAAAATGGAGGATTTGTCTTCTGAGACAGTAGAAATTTATTATAAAGACATTAGAATACGAGATTATATATTAATATAAGTATAGACAAACAGATGTGTGAACTAGAAAAACAGGTCCAGAAATAGATACAAGTAAATAAAGAAACTTATTTATAAAAATCATGAAATTTTAATGCAAAAGAGAAAAGATGATTTATTTAAGAAATGGTGCTGGCATAACTAGAACAAGCGGGACCACTTCCTCTTACTATATAAACACAAATTCCAAAAAGACTAAAAGTTCTGGATTAAATTAATTATAATGATGAAGGCATTAGAATACAGAGAATAATACTTATTTAACTTTGAGGTTGAAAAGTTTTTCCTAAACAGGCAGATACCATGAAGAGAAAAACATAAAGCTCACATATTTTATAATAAAAATTCAATCCTTTATAATAAAATATGCAAATGATCAGTTAAAAATATCTGTGGCACAATGGCATCATCATTAATGAACAAATATATAAAGCAATTTTACAAGTTATTGAGAAAAAGGCAAATAATTCATACAAACAGGTGAAGGGAATTCACAGAAGAGAAAGATGAAGCAGTCAATTAATGTGAAACAACGTTCAACCTCACTAGACGATAAGCAACTATGGGACACCATTTCCCCCCATTAGCCTTGCCATAAAATAAAACAACAGAGATAGAGGGAGAGGGAGAGAGAGTAGAAGGAAGAAACTGGAAGGAAGAAGGAAGAGAGCATTTAACATTGGTAAAGATTTAGGAAACTCATATACTAGAGAATATAAATTACCATGACTCTTTACAAAGTAGGATGGTATTATCTATTCAATGTCAAATAATACTAGTTTTAAAAAATGCAATCTTTAGAAATAAAATTATCAATAAGTACGACATGAATATAAAGATATTTAGGGCTGGGGTTGTGGCTCAGTGGTAGAGCACTTGCCTAGCACATGTGAGGCCCTGGGTTCAATCCTCAGTACCACATAAAAAAATTAATTAAATAAATAAAATAATGATTAAATTCTTTAGGAAAAAAGATATTTAATACAACAATATTTTTTAGTGGCAAAAACAGTGTCTTAGTCTGTTTTCTCCTGCTATAACAGAATTCCTGAGACTGAATAATTTATAAAGGTAAGAGGTTTGATTTGGCACACAGTTCTGAGTCTTCTTGGTTTCTAGTCAGGGCCTCATGGTAGAGAGCAGAAGGGGATAGGATATATGCAGAAGACAAGGAGGGGACAAAGGAGCTGACCTGCTTTATTACAACCTGCTCTAGAAAGAAAAAATCAATTCCCATGAGAACCCAGCCTCTGGGGAAAGACATTAATTCCTCTGAAAAGTTCCACTGGCAAACAGATTTCAACACGAGTTCTGGCAAGACAGAGCACATCCAGACCACAGCAGCCAGGAACATAAATATCTGTCAAAAAAGAAATGGTTGAATATACTGTAGTGTACTCTTCCTTCTATAGCCTAAAGCTATTTAAAGAGTGAACGATTATTATTATTTAGTGTGAAAAATAAGTTACAAAGTAATGAACCAAGTATGATCCCACTTCTGACAAAACAAATTGCCACATATACACTCAAACCCTATGTCTATTTAAAAAGGAGATTGGGAAAGTTATGGAAAGATACACACCAAACAAACTACCATCACTGGCTATCGCAGATAAATGGAAATGGAAATGGGGGAAGAGAACTTATAAGTTTTTCTTCAAACATCTTCAAATTGTTTAGCTAGGGACAAGAAACACAAAGATTACTTGAAGGAAAATAAAGAAATAAAAACAAACAATAATAAAGAAACAAATAAACCTATTAGAGCAGAGAAAGAACAGTGGCCAACTATCATCATTACCTGTTTATCTTCATATGGGCAAGTAAATTACATTTATTGTCACTTTCTTTTTTGGCCAAAATAGAACAGATCTTCTGCTGTTTTGAAAGTTGGAAGCAAAATTTTAAAAAAAAAAAAAATCCAGGTTAAAGTATACTTTACTGCTAAGCATTTGTGACTTTAAAAGGGGAAAGAATTCTATACTTAAAAAAAAAAGAAAAGAAAAAGAATTTTCCCCTTTAATGTCTAAAAGAAAATCTAAACTGTAAGGTTCCCCCCTCCTCCACCCTGGGAGGGCTGTGTGCTGGAACAGGAGTGTGCACACCAGATGCTCTGGCTTTATGGCAGGGGCAGGAACCCTGATAAGAGAAATGGGATGTTTTGCAAATTATTTGGATGAAAAGAAAAAGGAAAGGAAATGATGAAATAAGGTGGGGGTGGGGAGAGAAGAGGAGGAGGAGGAGGAGGAGGAGGAGGAGGAGGAGGAGGAGGAGGAGGAGGAAGCAGAGGCAGAACAGAATGCACGGCAGGCTCCTGAACCGCTGTGGAACCTGGCATTTTAGTTACCTCGGCTTTGCGTCTCACTTTGCATCTCACTTTTATTTCATGGATAACAAATGTCTCACTGAAATAATAACAATCCCCCCATCTCTACAGGCCTTCTTATTTCACAAAGCATATTTGCAGCAGGCGCCTCCTCCGCTCCGCGATGCCCATGTCTGTCTGAGGGCCTTGCCTACCCTCAGCCTGCCCGACCCTCATCCACCTTGCTCCCCTCCCCTCTCTGGCTTGAGCCCATCACACCTGCCTCCCTCTCCCTGCTGTGTCATTCTTCCTCATGCCACACACCCCCTCCCACCTTAGCTCCTGGCATCACTGCCTACTCCACATGTTTAAGCACTACATCCTCCAGGAAGCCCCTTAGTCACACCTTATTTATGAGTCCTCTGTCACCCTGTTTATGGGTCCTAACATGGCCATTGGTCCTAGTGAACATCACGTAGGGAGGGGTCATGAAGGACCAGGCCTATTTTATTTCACACCATCCACCTATCATCTTGCCCATACCCTGGCACATGTCAGGTACTCAATTGATACTGGCTGACTACATGAAAAATTCAGTCAAGTAAACTGAAGGCCCGGCTCAAATGCGATGCTTCTTGGCTTTAGCAGGCTCTCCAAGTTCTCAGTGCCTCTACTGGGGCACATTATCACTTGTGTTAAGAGTCTTCTTTTTTCTATCAGACTGTGAGCAACTTAGAAGTCTTATTTACCTTGATAATGCACACCTTACATAAGCCCTAAAGCACAAGGTTTCTTGTTTGTTTTATAGTTCTGGAGACTGAACCCAGGACCTTGCACATGCTAGACAAAGGCATTAAGCTACATTACATGTAGCTACCATTAAGCTGCACCCCCTTCTTAACAGCAGATGAACTCACACACTGCAAGGAAGTACAAGTGGAGGCTGCAGCCTCTAACCAATCACAGATGGCATTTTTTTCTTGCCCAGTGGACCGCAGCACAGAACATGAGCACCTTGGGGATATGCAAATACATATAAGACTCTGCCCATGGAGAAATTAAAATTAGAGCTAAACTTGAAATGTAGCAGTAGTGTGTGGGTGAGGGGACGGGAGGCGGGCCCTTATTCAGAAACCAGAGAAGTGAAATTACTGAGTGGTGATTTATTTTAAGTATGTTTTTCTGTACTGTCTAGCTTTCCTTCCTTGAGTATGTTCTAATTTTATAATCAGGAAAAACAACAATAAGTGTTATAAAAACAAACCAACAGAAAACCCAGCAGGGATTTTAGACTACCAAAATCACCCGTTCCTATGTTTCCTTGCCATGGTTAGGCATTCTGAATTCAGGACCCTCCCAGATGGGGGCCTTGCATTTTTTGAGGAACAGTTCCTTCCATTCCTCTGAAGCATGGGGGACAGGAAGGTGTTTAGAAGTGGGCACTTTCTGCTGCTGCAGTAGCTTGCAGTCATTCCCAGTGCAAACAAGGGCAAATCTCTGAGCTCCAGGAACTAGAGGAGTGTGGAAGCAATGACCCAGCTTAAGACCAGGCTCTGCCAGATGTGAGCCACTGTCTGGCATTCTGTAGGCCCTCTGCATATTTCTTCTGTGCTACTTTTCACATTGGGGTTCACTCGCCACCTGTCTTCCTGATGCACGGATGAGAGGCTGCATCTGTAATCACCTTGCTCCCCTAGCCCAGGGCTTAGTACTAGGAAGCCCTCAAGACACTTCATGGAACAGTGGAGACCACACCTAGGAAGTACCAACCACCTATGAAGTACTAAACATAACCAACCCCAGACCCTGGGACATAAGACTGCATTAACCACCAGATACTTCATGTCTTTTGTGCCCTGAAGGTCCATCATTCAGTCCTGAAGAGCAGAGTGGAAGCCAGTCATTTCTTGGAAGATTAATAAGGCTGCTTTTACGTTTGGGAAATCTGACTTCCTCCAGTAAGAGCAGATTATCTAGTCTGCAGTTTAGAATCATAGCTGACTGCGACTTCCAAAGACACCCCCTTCTTGAAGGAGTGAAAGCCTTGCTGAGGGATCTGCAGGAGACAGTGAGCTGGGCCTCAGGTCAGGATTAATAAAGTGCTTCAGAAAACTCCAGATTTTCCACTGTCTGCACTCAGGAATCACTTCTGACCTCTTGTGAGCTCAACTTGGGGTTCACTGCATGAACTCAATTTCTTGCCACCCACAGCACCTGTTACCAGTCTCTTCCTTAGGTGGCTGGGCCAGGGCCCGCTGGTCCAGGAGAACAGTACCCACTTCTGCTTTCGACCTCTGTGCTGGCTGACTGATTTGAAATTCAGCATCATCGGAGTAGGTGACAGTAAGCAGCCCAGAGGCTGGATATGAAGAGCCAACACAGCATCTCCAGGCACCCTCACAGGGGTTTTAGAATTGGTGAGTTCGGGGATAACCACAGGTTCCTCACAGAAATGCCACCTTCTGACTGAGCACAGACACATGCGTACACTGCTAGCACTCTTTCTGGACGTTGTAAAACAATAGTTCAGAGTATGAATTTTTGTACCTTAGAACTAAGTGCTAATTTGTGAGCTTTATTCCATTTCATCCACACAGTATACTTTGGAGCAGGTATGACTGTGACCCCCCGACTTTACCAAGAGAGGCAGGTTCTGTGTGGCAAGCAGAGCTGTCCAGGATCTGTAAGGCAGGAGGTGATGAGGACAGAGCTTCTACTTGTTCTCCTACCCAGGAGAACCTTCATTGAAGAAACTGACACATACTGCCACCAGTCAATCCCAGGGTCACAAAGACCCACAGGGTTCAGAGGCCCACAGCAAGTCAGGCAGCACAACAGACCAGGCGGGAATGACACACAGGTGATGAGCCGGGAACACACCCGCCTGAGGCAGCTGAAATAAGACCTAAACCAAGTTCAACCTTCTTCCTGTAACAGAGAAAAGCTGAGATCCAGGGAGCTGATGGAGACAAGGCAGCACAGTGTGGTGGAAAGTTCAAGGGTGGCAGGGACAGCCAGTTCTCATTTGGTTCTCCAGCTCTATCAGCTGCCATACCGTTTTAGACAGCGCTTCGTCTCTGTGCGCCTCTTTTCATGTCAGATGGAGCCAATCTCTGTCTCACATCACTACTATTAAGATTTAAAGGAGTCAGCAAATGCAAGATGCCCAGTCTTATGTGTGACAGTTTTCACAAAGGTATAAAAGTCAAGTAAGAGCTCAGGACACAGTGGTCCCTTTTACAACCTGTCTCCACTCCCAAGATGCCCCAAACTTACTGCTCACCAGGAGGCCAGTGCCTAGTAGAAAGCCTGGCACATGGGTGCAAAGGAGACATAGCTCAGTTTTAATCTAACCCTAGATTTAATCCTAGATCTTAATCCTAGATTTTAGTTTGGTAAGAGAGAAGAAGGGGAACTTTGGTTTGCCCCCTGTCCCCTCCTTTAACCTAGACATGCCCCATGCTGCTGGGGAAGGACAAACAAAAGTAAAGGTCGTCTTGGACTTTGACTCTCCGGGTTCCAGGTCTTGTGGATTTAAGGACTCTTTTATCTTGTTGGGTTTTTTGGTTTGTTTGTTTTGTGGTATTGGGGATAGAACCCAGGGCCTGCTCATGCTGGGCCTGCACTCAACTACTGAGCTACTCCCAAGCCAGGGCTCTTTATCTTTAAGGCCTTCCCAGACCCTACTCTTGGGAGGATGTGTTATTTAGAAACTATTTGTTCCAATAAGGTCTTGGTTAGCAGGAGGGGGCTCATGGCCCTGTGGCAGGCATATCTTAGAGCTGTGGTCTTCCCCAGTAACAAAGCCCACTGAAGGTAGACTGTTGCTACCATGGAACCAGCCATGGGCCTGGGTAGCCAGAGGCTGGAGCCACCCAGCTCCCTAGGATTGATCTTGAGACTGAATAATCTGGTCATCCTTCTTCCTCAGGTCATGGTGAGGAGGTGATGCCTGAAGGACAGTACCTGGCCTTTGTGGTCTCTGCCAGAGACCAGGTGTGGACAGATGAGGGTGGCCTTAGTTTCTTGTTTTATGCTGTCTTAAGTCAGTGCTGTTAAAGTATGCTTTTCCAACACACACACACACACACACACACACACACACACCAATGAAACTTTTCCCCCTCTTTATTTGAGAACACCAAACCTGAATAAAATCATCAAAACTCAGTAGTAACTTCATACTGCCTGTTTTGTTTCCTCTAATTGTCCTACAGGTGTCAATTTTAGTCATTCTGGATTACTGAAAACCTAGGGCACTTAGCTTCTAAGGCCATAAGGATCTGCCTCAAAGGGAAAGAAATATGGATGGTTCATTCTAAGCTTCATTTGAAAATATCAAGATCTAGTTCTGTCCCCTCATTTGGCACATGAGGAAACTGAGGTCCAGAGAGTGCAAAATGCTTGCCCAAGGTCACACAGTTCTAATATGTGCCTGCCTGCCTGCTTGCTCTCCCTCCTCTTTTTAATGGTGATGGGGATCAAACCAGGGTCCTGGCTCATGCTAGGCAATTGCCCTACCACCAACCTATGCCCACAGCCATTGTTTTTATTATTCAAAGCTGACATTCTTCCCCTTTAAGTACAGCTTGTTAAGTATATTTAATCTAACAGGGGAGAGGGGCCACAGCACCCTATAAGCCATCTCAAGCCACCGAGCTCCCTAGGATTGATCCTGAGACTGAATAATCTAGTCATCCTTCTTCCTCAGGTCATGGTGAGGAGGTGATGCCTGAAGGACAGTACCTGGCCTTTGTGGTCTCTGCCAGAGGCCAGTGTGGACAGATTGAAAACCCTCAGCTCAGGGGCCTAACCAGGAAGGGAGCTTGGGGCTATAGGGCTCCTTCCCTTCCTGTTTGCACAGAGTTGCTTGCTTAGTTTAAAACCCTAAAAACAGATACCAACAAATGGAACGCCTAAGGGCTTACATGTTCTGTTTATTTTCTAAGCATAAACAGCAAATTTAAAAAAGGAAGCAATAAAAAGATCACAAAGGGGGCTGAGGCTGTGGCTCAGTGGTAGTGCACTTGCCTGGTATGTGTGAGGCACTGGGTTTGATTCTCAGCACCACGTATAAATAAATAAAAACATAAAGATCTATCAACAACTAAAAAATATTTTTAAAAAAATCACAAAGCCAAAGTTAAAGATTTCCCCTCCTTTCAATCTTGGGAGTCTCCCCATGGCCCCCAAAGTTTATGAGGTAAGTGATGACTTCATAAGTCTAACCATGTCTGTGTATAAAATTTAACTTATTAATTTTATATTTGTGGGGGGAAGAGTCTAGGGAATTTTCACTTTCAGAGACATTTATTTCTAGAAGGTGTACAATGTTTTGTAAAACCTTTGTAATCAGAAAAAAAAATAAAGTTTTCAAATACTAGTTTCAGGATTTACTTTGTCCCCTGTATTTGGGGCAAACTGCTGCTTTTAAAGCTAGGGATACGTCAAAAGTTCTTTGCGTGAAAAAGTAAGCCAGGATCTAAACAGAGCCCTGGGAGGCTCGGGGCTCTGACTCCAGCCCCAGGCAGTTTCAGAGAAAGCTGCAATTTTCAGAGCAAGCTCACATATATCAGAACATAAAAATAGACCCTTTGTGACCAATGAGCTAGAAAGCAAGCTCTCCAGAGAGCTCTACTTCTCCCTGGAGGTGGGGGTGAGGAGGGAGTACAACTCTACTTACGGGAGCAAAGTTCCTCAAACTGCAGAGGTTCCCGGTCAGAAGTGAAGGTGGAATTAAGAAACCAGGTTTGAGAAGGAGCAATCCAGACCCAAGGTTCAGGCAGAAGTCTCTCGGCCCTCTCCCTAAATGAAAAAGCACTTCGAGGTTTTAGTGGGTGTTTCCCACGTCTCCGGCCAACTAAGTCCCCATTTGCTGTAATCTAATGCTCAGGCTGATGATGTCAACCACTTCACTCACTTGCTCAGTTTCCACCTCTCAGTCCACGGGGGAGATCCATTTCCTCTGGACAATGAACTGGGGGGCTGTAACCGCATCCCAGGCCGGTCACATTGGCCTAACATCCTTCCTCCAATTTTCAACCCTGAGGCCCTAGTGACAAAAGGCTTCCTATCTACTCACTCAGCCGGGGCTCCTACCTTAAATCCTCTGCTTGTTAGCCGGGGCTCCTAGCTTAAATCCTCTACTTGTTAGTCACTGCCGACTGGGGGCCATCTAGTCTGCTGGGTTGTGTTTTAATTCATTTCTTTGGTGTATAATGTGTCAGGGAGGAAGCCTTCACCCACGCTACAGCTCTCTGCTCAATTCTTCAAGTCTGAATTTGGATTTCCAGAGTTTCCCAGGTACATAATGGGCACAGTGTATGTGTTTGTCCCTTTGTAGCGAGATGACTTGTCTCTAGGAAAGCACTGGTGTTTGCCTGGGGAACTCACTTGGGTCTTGGCCACTCCCCCAGCTGTATGAATGGCCTCAAGCAAATCCTCTCCCTATCTGGACCTCAGTTTCCTCATCAGTAAAATGATGGCATGGGTGTCCTCCCCTTTTGAAATTCCATGACTGAAAACCAGTGACTGCTGAGCTTATCAACAAATGCATCCCAAGGCATTTTAATCACAAGCTAACCAGCCCAGTTGCCTGGCTCTGCTGGCTCCTTTAAGCCGCCTCATGAGGAAGCTGACAGGTTTCTCAAGGAGAAAAGCCTAAAGAAATCACTGAGTGAAGCCAGTCCGGAGGCTGGGGCAGATGTATTCCAAGTTCTAGGCTAGCCTTGGAAATTCAGAAGACCTTGTTTCAAAATAAAAAAATTAAAAAGGACTAGGGATATAGCTCAGTGGTAAGGCGCCCCTGGGTTCAATCCCCAGTACCAAAGGGGAGGGAAAAAAGAATTCACTGAATGAGTCCCAGGGGAAATAAAAAGAGGCAGCATAAACTACTAGATAAGATAAACAAGAACAAGTAAGGGAACTCAAATGTCCTTGGGGATCAACAAGAAACAACAGTGGATAGAGATAACAATAATGCCTTGCATTTGCCGAGTGCTGGACAGTGGAGATATGTAAACCCTCTTTCTCAGGTGAAGGAGAAGCAATGATCCTGAGCACTATTCAGGGGAGCCAGAGATGTGTACATGGGTCCTTTGTGACTTACCACCCTAAATTTTCTGTTCTCTTAACTGTGCTGCCATTCTAGGATTGTGAGAATTAAAAAATACATGTAAGGGGAATGAAAGTAGTTGGTACATACTTAGTACTAAACCAATGTTAGCTCTCATTTGTGCACATAATCTCATCTGATTCTCATAACACCCCCAGGAGAATTAGGGGCCCAGGGGCTGCATTATTCATCTCTGTTTCCTGGACAGGAAAATGAAATACAGTGAAGCTAAATGACATGCTCAAGGTTGCATAACTCAAAACCAAAAAGTTGGCATTAAAAATGGAGATTCTTCATTCCTGGCTAAGTCCGAACACATGCCCCACACCTGCCGATGCTATTTCTCCAAATAACTATCCAGCCTGGTAAAGGAAACACTTCAGGCCACCAGGTCAGACGGGGCGCTTACTTGTTTTGCTACCAAAACAATGAGTGGCCTAAGGCAAGTCTGGCTGCAACTGCTTCACCCCAAAGGGACAGATCTCAGTGGTAAAGCGCCCCTGATGCTATTTGGATGGGGGCGGGGGTTAGGACTTGAACTCCACTGAGAAAGCAGCTCTTTATCAGCAGGGGCAAGGCTATGGCACTTTGTAACTTAATAAGAATTTTAATTATTTCCCAGAAAACCTTGATGATTATCAGGAAAGGTCCAAGCAAACAGGCTCTATTAGGAGGGTGCTTTCCAATCTGAAGGCTTTGGAACAAGGTGGTGGACTGTGGTGGAACAAAACCACCAGCCTGCAAAACCCCTGGGAGCAGCAGTTAGCAGCCCCCAAAGAGCTGAGTTCCTCCTAGTCCCTGGACCTCCTCTGGCTGGGCAAGTAGTTCAATGTCTTTATGCCTTGGCTGACAATGTAAGATGAGAATAACAGCATACCATTGAAGGTTCTGAATGGGTTAAGTGCCCAGAACATACTTTAAGTTCAAAAACACTTGTAAAAATAAACTATAATAACTTATTGGTAAAACATTATTTTCTAATTCTGACTCAGTTTCGCCATACTCTGCCCCGATGATGATGTGACACAGTAATAAAGTCAAGGATGCTGGAAAGTCAGAAGAAAGGCCTGTATTTCTGCAGAATGTCAGGCTGAGTAATGAACAAAAGCCTACTTCAGAACTGTCAGGCCTGTTCTCAGCAGCAACACTCAGCCTGGAGGGACTGGAGGCTGGGGCCTTTATTCCAGAAGCCTGAGTGGGTGTCAGGAAATGAAGCTGGGCTCAGATGGGTCAGTTAGCTGACATCACCATCGGTGCTTTGAATCATGTTTTGTTAGATGAGCAAAAATAATAGTAAGGAGCTCATTCATAAAACACCATTATTTCTTCATCTACTTTGTAATACTTGCCTAATAATTCTATATCTATCTGTGTCAGAATCCATGAGGAGAGGGCCCTAAGCACCTCATCCACCACTAACAACCATGGGCACAGTCATTTTGTATCACAATTGAAGACAGTGGATACGGTATATGCACTGGAGCCTTCCTCTGCTCAGCCCTTTGCATACGCCATTTCATGTAATCCCCATGGCGATCAGGTACAACAGGCATAAATGATACTCACATCTTAACAGCAGTGGCAATAGATACAGGGAGCATGTTTCTGAGCTGTGCAAAGCCCACAGGATAGTGGCAGGGCTGCACTCCAACTCAAGGCAGTTTGGGGCCAGGCCTGGAAACCCCACCCCCCTGGGTAGCACCTCTTACAGGGCTTCCCAGCAGGGAAACCCAGGTTGCTCCACAGTAGGCTCCATCTGAAAACTGGAGGAAATGGAGGCAACTTTGGCTGCTGACCTGTGCAGCCTGTGCAGAACTGGCCTGAGGGCTCAGACAGCCCCTCCACCACAAATTCCCATACCTACCCCCCACCTAGTCTGAAAGAGCTCTCTCCCTCCTCTGAATTTCCTCAGTTTCTCCTCTGAATTTCTTGGTATCTGCTTCTCTCTTAGGAAAGAATTCTTTAAACTTTTCATCAAGATTCTTTTATTACTTTTTTTAAAAAATTCTTTTCACTGTTTAATTGTGATTTCAATGGTACATGAACATTTATGTAGTTTCCTTTTTTTTTTTTTTTCTCCTCATCTCTAGCATTTTTGAAGCCAGTTATTTTACATGGATTAGTTTTTTGGGAACTAGGATGTTTGATTAGTGTATTTTAGTTTTATTTTATATTCCTTTATTTTTAATTTTTTTAATTTAAATTTTAACTTTATATATATTTTTTCTCCTGTTTTCCTTGATTCTCTCTTTTCTTCTAACAGCCAATCTCTATTGTTCTCTTTCAGTCTTCCTTTAATCTTTTACTTCTATCTTCTCTCCTCTTCCCTCATAATCATCACATCCTATATCACTTCTGTTCTCTCTCCACCATTTTTATCCACATTTTTATCCACATATATGAATACAAATGTGAATATATATGTAAAAATTTAAAATATATAAGTAAAAATGTCCACCATTTGAAAATGTAAACCCTTTTGCAAACTTTTTGTTTTTATTATAGGCAATAACTGATCATACTGTTTCTGTTTATTGCAATAATTAACATTGTAGGCGTCATAGTAGGAACTATTTGGTTTAATGCTGTATATTGTTTGCATTGGTGGTTGTTATTATTTGTCTCCCCCTAAACAGTGAGGTACTGAAAACCTGCAGGGACACTATAAGTCCATAGGGAATAAACTCTACTGCCTCAGATCTAAACTATTAGATGGGTAGACACACAAACAACATGAAAAAGCAAGGGAACAAATCGCCTCAAGCAAACCAAGGAACTCCAGTAACAGAATCCATCAACACCACATTGGAAGAAATGTCAGAGCAGGAGTTTAGAATGTACATAGTTAAATTGATCTGCAAAGTAAAGGATGGGTGTAAGAGAGCAAACACAGGTAGCAAAAGATCACTTCAATAAAGAGAGAGAGATTCTGGGGAAAAAAAAAAAAAGAAATTCTTGAAATGAAGCAAACAATAAACTAAATTAGGAATTCAACAGAATGCATCACTAACAGACTAGATCACTTGGAAGACTAACCTCAGGCAATGAAGACAAAATATATAATCCTGAAAATAAAATTGACTACAGAGAGAAGATGTTAAGAAACCACGAACAGACTTTCTAAAAATTATGGGATAACATGAAACTACCAAATTTAGGATTTATCAGGATAGATGAAGGCCCAGATATACAAATCAAAGAACTGCACAATCTTTTCAATGAAATAATATCAGAAAATCTCCCAAATCTAATAAACGAAATGGGAAATCAAATACAAGAGGCCTACAGGAACCCAGTTGTGCAAAAATACAACAGAACCACATCAAGGCACATTATAATGAAAATGCCTAGCATACAGAATAAGAATAGAATTTTAAAGGCTGCAAGATAAAAACATCAGATTACATATAGAGGGAAACCAATATGGATCTCAGCTGATTTCTCAACCCAGGTCCTCAAAGCTAGGAGGTCCTGGAATAACATATTCCGAATTCTGAAAGACAATGGATGCCAACCAAGAATCCAATATCCAGCAAAATTAAGCTTCAGATTTGAAGATGAAATAAAAACCTTCCATGATAAACAAAAATTAAAAGAATTTGCTACCAGAAAGGTTGCACTTCAGAATATTCTCAACAAAATATTCCATGAAGATGAAGTGAAAAAAAAAAAAGTGAAAATCAGAGAAAGGAAGAACTACACTAAAGGAATAATCAATTAATGGAGAAACTAATTCAAATTAAAAACTAGATCAAAATGACTGGGAACACAAATCATATCTCAATATTAACCTTGAACATTAATTGCCTAAAATCATCAATCAAAACACAGACTGGCAGACTGGATTAAGAAATAAGACCCAACAATATGCTATCTCCAAGACTTACCTCGTAGGCAAAGCATCCACATAATAAAGGTAGAAGGATGGATATGTCAAGAGCTTTGTAATGTTTTGAACAACCAAAAAAAAAAAAGGTAGAAGGATGGGAAAAACCATATCACTCACATGGACTGCATAAACAAGTAGGGGTTTCTATCCTCACATCAGATAAAGCGGACTTCAAGCCAAAGTTAACCAGAAGAAACAAAAGAAGGACATTTCATACCGCCTAAGGGAATTGTACATCAACAAGACATAACAATCACAAATATTTATGCCCCAAACAACAGAGTATCTATGTACATCAAACACACCCTTCTCATCTTCAAGAATCAAATAGACCACAACACAATAACACTGGGCTTAAACATTTCTATCCACATATATGAATACAAATGTGAATAAATATGTAAAAATATACATGAAAATATTTAAATGGATATGGATTTGCATATAGTTATTTTTATTCTGAGATAGATATTTACAATTTTGGTAAGATATAGGATACAATTATGTAACTGAATACATATGAAAATTTATGGGTAGGATTTTGGTTGCCATTAGGATACATACATATATATAAATGTATACAAATATATATGAAATATATATGGGAAAATATATAGAGATATTCAAAATAATATTTATAATTCTTATTCAAAAGGCTCACAATTATGGACAGAGTTAGGTGTAGTTCTGAGTTATGGTTTTGGTTTAGAAACGGGTTACCTTTGGAACATATATATCAATATATATGAATATAAATATAGAAGTAATATTATATATCAAAACATATATATACTTTTATCTATGGATATTTTTAAGATAAGCGATATTGTTATATTACGTGTGAAATCTGGGTTATGCCTATGGAAATGAGTATATTTACAATTTGTTTTAGTTTAGTTTATGATTATGTAACTGATATATTTGAAAATGTATGAGTAGGAATTTGGTTGTGTTAGGGGTATATTCATATACATATATGAATATTCATATACGTATATGAATATATATAAACATATAAAGGAATATATATGTGAAATATTTTCTAAAAATGAAGAATAACATTTCAATCCAACAGAATGTGTTTATTGTAGAAAACATGTTTACTCCTGAGCAGGTCTTATTCCTACACTAGACTGAGCTTCTTAAGGAAAGGATCTATGCCTAAATTTAATCACATTTGTACATGAGGCACTTAGTAATATGGAAATACATAAATGAAAATAAACACCTTTTACTGAATGCTTACCACATACTAGGTAACTGTCCTACTGCCTTATATAAATCACCTCACTTTAATCTCCTCAGGCTTCCCTGAGAGAGATCCCATGGTTACTCCAGGCACAGATCAGCTGAATCACCTGGTCAGCTAGGAACTGGTGCAATCTCTTGAAAGCAATGGATGAGTGAGTTCTAGCTACAGTTCCCCACTCTCCTAGTCCACACAGCCTCTGTAAAATGTAGTCAGCTCTTCTCGCTATCAAAGGCAAGTTATAGTTGTTGTGACATTTCAAACTCTCTAGCCACTACGCCAGAAAGCCTGGAAGCCCATGCTTTTCCTAGACAACTGAGAACCATATTGATATTTATAAATAAAAGTAGATTTTGTTATCTTTTCTGATTATTTTTCCATTTGCAATCATAATTTCTGATTGTTAAAAAAAAGGAAACTACAGAAGAATAGTAAAAAAGGGAAAAAAATCATCCATCATTTTACCACCCACATAAATCGGGGCACCTTCTAGTGTGCAGCCCCAGAGAAGGACCCACACTTAAACTCAAAATATTGTTTTGAAATCAGAAACTTAAAGTCATTTGGAGTGGGGAGGGAGGCAGTTTACCCCACCAAAGATAAGAAAGACATGTTTAATATGTTCGTTTGGGTTTTTAGAGTTTACCTGGCTGTTTTTCCTTTGGGGTTTGATGTTCTAAGGCTCCACTTCCTGGCCCCCTCTGGACTGCTAACGCAGTGTGTCCAAATGGTAGCAGATGAGGTAAGTAGGAGGGACAGCTGGAAGGAGAAGGGAAGCCTGACCCAGTGAGCATGCTCTTAGAAAATAGATTCCACACTGCTCTCACCCAGCCCCTCTTAGCCTTCGGTGGAACTGCTTCCCTCCAGCTAGAGACAGGTTTCAGATTGGGGCAATTACTGGAGAGACAGACTGCCACTTGAGCTAATTCTTCACAATGTGAGAGTCATTGATTTGTACAACTAAAAGAGCATGTAGTCTCCTTTTAGAGTGAGGAATGACAGCCCAGAAGGCGAGGGACTTTCCTGATGCTACACAGCCTGGAAGCAGTTCTATTGGTTTGAGGTTCTCATTTGCCACTGCACTTTGAAATTCTAATCTGATCAGCCCTTCCCTCTTGTTTTGGTTACTCAGATCTCAGATCAGGTGTCACTTAGTGAGGCCTCTCTGAGCCTAGTTAGTTCCCCATGCTCTTCTGGTCTCCTGGCACCTTCTGGGTCTCCTCTTACAACCTCAGCATGTTATTATAGGTACGAGCTCACCAGACGTGAGCTCCACAAGGTCAATCTTTCTCCTGGTCTTCTGATATGTCTAGTCTAAGTGCCTAGAATAATGCCTGGCACAGAATAGGAATCTCAATAACTATCTTCTAAACATGCATACACTTGGCACACGCAGACATCCTAGAAGTCCAAGCTTGAGGTAAAATAATAGTATATTTAAGAAAAAAAAAAGTACCACTTCTTCTAAATACAAATCAGGTCTTCCCTCTAGGGGATGATCATTAGAGAAGGGATTTCATTTCAAATAATTTTCTAAAAAATAGAAGAAGTTCATAGCAGCATGATGATGGAAGCTGAGGTGCTCTCAGCACTGGGTCAAGAAAGCACCACTAGAAATGGGAAAGAAGCAGCTGTGTGGAAACCTGGGGAGACTCTGAGCCAGGAGATGGCGGAAATGGAGAAGAGGATTGAGAACCAGGGTGAAAATCAACGCATCCACAGAAGGTCCTGTGCCAGCCAGCTCCTCCCCATTCGGCCTGCAGCTCACAAAAGGCTGGCAGCTGTACTGAACCACAGGTAAAGGCAGAAGGCTCTTTAAATAAACTGAATGAGGAGCTTGGGGTAGCTAAGGCTTCCAGGGAGAGACAGGCCTCCTTACTGTGACACCTGAAGGACCCTCAGTCTAACTGCTGGTCCTGCTCATGTCCACTACCATTGGGTATAGAGAGCTTCCAGCAGCTTTCCAGGGGAGAGGCCTGTGGGGTAGACAACCAATTCCAGAGGAAACCAAGTCTATCATTAGTAACTCTTTCATTATTGATTATGAGTGGCCAAAAGAATGTATCACGGGGCATCTGAAAAAACCAACAACATGGCAAAGACTGAAATAAGAGAATACAAACTCTATAAAGGAAAAGAAAATCTGGACAAATGAGAAGCTTAAAAACATCTCATGTCTTTAGAAATTCTGAAGATATAATCTCCTAACCATGCAGATTTCAAAAGGGAAAAAAAAATCCTAAATTTCCAGAGAGGCAAACAGATTGTTTCAAAAGTAAAAAATCAGAATGGTCAACTTCTTCCTAGCAATACTGGTCCCTGAAGACCATGGAGCAATGCTTTCTTTCCATGAGAAAAGCTCAAAAGAAAATGTGTGGAACTCAGAATTCTATACTAAGCAGGGTGTGGTAACACATACCTGTAAGCCCAGTGGTTTGGGAGGCTGACGCAGGAAGATTGCCAGTTCAAAGTCAGCCTCAGAAACTGTAAGACCCTGTCCCAAAACAAAATATAAAAAGGTGCTGAGTATGTGGTTCAGTGGTTAAGTGCCCTGGGTTCAATCCTTGGTACCAAGAAAAAAAAAAAAAAAAGAATTCTACACTCAACTAGGCAAGAGAAAGACATTTTGGACGTGCCAGGCACTGTTCTCTCAGGGTTCAGTCTCAGAAGGCAGGACTGAAAAAAGAAGGGTGCAACCAGAGGGAGATGGAGGGAATGCAGGGAGTGGAGAACGGCTCTGGGAGCTGAGCTGCGCGACAGGCCTGGAAAGCACCACAGTAACTGGAGCAGGAGGACAAGAAGGCTCCAGGAGGAAGAACGGACTGACTCTCTCTCCCAGGTTTGATGAAAACACTATGGAAAGTCTAAGAGAAAGAGTGAACAGACTGAGCAGCAGGGAGAAAGAAAGCCACGCTTGTCAGAATAAGCACTGTGAAGGCCAAGAAAACAGGCACAGAGAACCGAAAAATAACTAGTGTGTACTGAGTGCACAGTAAACAATAGTTGCGATGTCATAACACGGAAAACACTGCCTCCTAGTTCAACCTGAAACTGTGAAATTGGGAGAAAAGGGGAAGGAAAAGCACAGTGAGTGTGGCTGTAAGTTTATAGAAAAGCTAAACCTCACATGTCACAGGTGACACCTGAAACTGACAAGTGAAGAAAGAGCAGTATCACCAGGCCTGATGGCACACGCCTGTTATCCCAGCTACTCTGGAGGCTGAGGCAGGAGGGGCACAGTTTGAGGCCAGCTTGGGCAATTTAGTGAGACCCTGTCTCAAAAAACAAACAAACAACAACAAAAAAAAAAAAAAAAAGAGAGAGAGAGAGAGAAGAAAACAAAAAGAAAAACAAGTACAGAAATTTGTAGCTTTGATTGCCTCTAACTGGAACAAAACAATATTTAGGTTAATCGGAGATCTTTGCTAATAATAAAGAATTTTTTTTTAGAAAGAAAGAAAAAGAGAGAGAGAGAGGGAGAGAGAATTTTTTAATATTTATTTTTCAGTTTTCGGTGGACACAACATCTTTATTTTATTTTTATGTGGTGCTGAGGATCGAACCCAGCGCCCTGTGCATGCCAGGCGAGCGCGTTACCGCTTGAGCCACATCCCCAGCCCATAATAAAGAATTTTTAATTATCTTATATGTGATGACAGTAGTATAGTTAATGTAAAGAAAAAAAAATTGGGGGGGACTGGGTTGTAGCACTGGTCTGCCACATGTGAGGCCGGGGTGCTATCCGCAGCACTGCAAACAAAAGGAGGTAATATAGTATAGAGAAAGGGAAGAACCAGGGAAGAAGTAAAAGCAGACACACAAACCCGTGGCCTCGGGGCGGGAAGGGTAAGGAGACTCATGCCTGGAGTTAGACCCAACTTTTTTTTAAGTTTTGATTAGAAATCATGTCCATGTATTTCTTGGATTTTTAAAGTTTTCCTATTATTATCAGGTATTGCAATCAGCTTTTAGAAGGCCTTTTTTGCTATTCCAACATTTATAATCTGAATGTTTTTTCAGAATCCTACAGCATCCTAAGTGAGTATCTCCACGTTAAGTTTAGTAATTGCTGCTACTGCCATTTAACTGTTGTGTGTCCTATCAGTATTTACATATGTTATTTCTAGTCCTTTGTTAACACTCTTGCAGAGCCAGTATCTGATATTCCCACTTTACAGATATAAAGACTGAGGCTGAGGGACAGAGTAGGCGGCCAGGCCCAGAGACCAGCTCGCAAGCCCTTTCCACTACCACTTCTCCTTCACATACCACTAGCTTGGTGTAGTCCACAAAGTACTTTTAAATTTTCTCATCAATCCCATGAAACAGGAGAAATAGGATATGCTCACTTGACAAATAAAGAAACCAAAGAAAAGTCAGGTAACTTGCCCAAATCCAGGCTTCCTGATCCTCAATCCAGTATTCCGTCTACCATCCCTCAGCATCTATCCCCTTAACAACACAATATCCAATCATTCACTGCCTCCTTAAGACCTTTGACACAAGAGTCACTATAAATGAATAAAGTTGAAGCAGGAATGGGGGGGGGGGGACACTCACACACATTGAGAGTTATTTTTTCCAAAGGAAATCCAATAATAAACCATGTAATGTCCTCAGTTGCTCCGTCAGCATGTTGCCCAAGTGCTCAAAGGGGCTCTGGAAATGCCAGCAGCCGGCTGCCTGGCATCCAGCTCATCAGTTGTTGGCACAGGCAGCCCGCAGCAGTTCCCTCAACCAGTACCGCTCTTTTTGGCTTCAAAAGAAAGAAACGAGCCATGCGTGCTTCTGCCCTGAAAAGACAACGTCTGTGCCTCCTGAATCTACTTTAGTCAACAGCCATGTGGCCCCAGGCTTTTAACGGTTGCCAGGAATCTCAGCTCGGTACTGCTCAGCTCAGAGGCAAATACATGAAGCTCTATAACAGGCTGGGCAGGAGGGGGAGCCAAAAATGGGAAACGAAAGGGTGAACACCTGACCCCAGTCAACTCAAGTCCTAGCTAGCTGGCTGCTCTGCCAGGAAGAGAATCAGCCCAAGATTTGGGCCCAAGCACCTTGGCCTGGTGTGGGATGCTGCTCCAGCCTGTTCTGCATGTGCACAGCCAAGCAGCAGCCAGGGGAAGAGGCTGTTTACTTGAGTTCAAACTATTTATAGCACCAGCAATCTGCACATATTTGGATGACAAATCTCTGGGCTTCAAGTGAGCCGTGCTTTGCTCCTGGACAATTTCACCAAACACATTCCCTCCCCACGCCACCCCCAGGCCCCTTGCTAACACATGTTGCCCTTGGGATGTTTTATTTAAGCTGCTGAGTTTTAAAAGATTATAAAAAGAAATCACATTTTAAAAACATGTGACTTCCATTTACCTATGAGTTTGAACTACATATTATTTTCTTTAAGATTTCAATCAGAAATTAAATTCTGATATATGTATATTCTTTAAAAATATACAACTATTCCATAAATGAACCAAATAGTACCTGAGTGGTGTCTGGAATTCAACATGTACTGAGCTGTGACACTGCCGTATCTGCTCAGGACCTACACTCAGAACGTTTCTTATGGCACAGGATGATAAAAGACTCTCAAAATTGAGATCCACGGACAATATGTAATTGCGTACACATTCCACATGTACAGCACAAGTCTTATCACCCACCGATTCCAGGGCAGAAGCAGTTGGAGTACATGGGTGGGACAGTGTCCTGTGCCCTCACTGTATGCCACACAGAAGAGCTGGACGAGGACCAAAAGATGGGCAGAGTCTATTTGGTTTTAACTCCCAAAAGGTGGTAGAATCTTGCCAATCAATTTGTTTGGAAAAACCAGCCTACCTCTAAAAGCTGTCTTGTTTTTATAGCAAAGCAATATCAGGCCAACTCAGGCACGGACTAATTCTGAAGAAGAGAAAGTGGTTGTTAACCAGCACATCAGTGGGCTACAATGTTGAGGCTTGCAGCCCTGGCACACAATGCAGGCAGGGGCTGGCACAGAGAACAAGGCCAGGGAGCGAGGAGAAAGGTGTACAGTGTCACGGTGATGCCAGAGATGCTGGGCAACCGTTTATGGAGAGGCAACAGAAGGATTTCTCAGAAGCACTTCCTTGCTTCCTGATCTCTCGCCTTACATTATAATGAAGACAAATGGAAAGGTCCCTAAGACAATCTTTCCACCACCTTCCTTTTTAAAGAATAGTACTAGTGAGAATGAAGAAAGCAGCAGGTCTACCCATACACAGAGGGAACGGAAATGATTTAAAAATCTTTTTCATGTCAATTTGCTTCTACTATACTGACCAAAATAAATAAATAAATGAATAAATAAATAAAAGGAGGGGTAGTCTGGGGATTGAACCCAAGGCCTTGGACACACTGGGCACACCGTCTACCATGTTTTAGGTAGGAATTCAGGGTCGCCATGATGGCAGAAGCAGAGAACATGCCACTTAAGGATAAGACAGGGAGATGAGTCATCTGTCCCTGTTTACAAAAAGTCTAATTACCGTGACAACTCCCACTACTGAGGACTCCTGGCCCTTGATAACTCTCTCAACAGGTTCAGTTTTCTGAAATAACCAACGGGAGAAAGTGGACAGTATTCTAATTAAGTTCCTAGAGTAACAAATGGGGGGAGATTGGACACTATTCTAATCAGCCATCATGAGGTAAGCATGGGAGCCAATGGGGTAAGATCCCCATCAGTCTGTTTAGGGAAGAGAATGCCTCCAGGCTCCCGCTCCATAGAAAACACTAATTTCCAGACCTGGAGTCCTTGAGCACCCTACCCTTTCCCTGCCCCCTACAGAGTGCTACTTTCACCTTCAACTTCAAGAAATCTGTACTCTGCCTGCGGCTTTTATGTATCTTGCTGAATTCTTTGTTCAGGACACCAAGGACCTGGACCCCAACTCGACACCCTGACTATAACACGGTGAACTATATTTCCCAGTTACCAAAATTATTATCTCATTTGGTCCTGAGGATGGAACCCAGGGCCTCACACATGGTAGCAAATGCTCAGCCCTGAGCTACATCCCCAGCCCAGTATGGAATGTTTGATCTCATGATTCTATTTCCAGAAATTCTAGGAATACAAGAATATCCTTATCATTCAGACCTTAGCTAAAATGTCAATTCTTCAGAAGGACTTCCTCAACCCACCTAAACTAAGATGAGCACCCAGCCACCTGTCACATCACTTTGTCGGTGTAACACTGCCAGTTTTCTTGTTCATTCATTTACTGCCAGTATCTCACCACTACCTCCCTATTCCATATTAAAATGTCAGTTCTGTAAGGAGTATGGTGTTCTTCCTAGGTACTGGACACTAGCCAAGGAGGCTGCATGCATCATCTCATTTAATCCTTGTGGCCACACCAGGTTTCTGTTATCATCCCATTTCGTTTCATTTTTCATTGGTACTGGGGATTGACTGAACTCAGGGGTACTCTACCATTAAGCTACACCCCCAGCCATTTTAAAATTTATTTT